CTCACTCAACCACCATCCAGCTCGTGGCCCTATTTGTTGACAGGGATACCCTGGCACTTCTTCCTTATAAGAATCATGTGTGGCCGCTCATGTACACCCGAGTGTCAATGACTTGGACAAACTGGTGATTTGTTTTCTCTCACATTGAAGAAATTCAGGGACACACAGTGCTGGGCTGGTATGGTGCTTACACATAGCCCTCCGTGCCCCAGGCTTCTGTCAGCCCCGTCATCCTCAGTGGACTTCTGTCCTTGGGACCGTTTCGGTGTCACCAAATGGTTGCTTAAGTTCCAGCCATCGTATGTTCCAGGAAGAAAACATAAGGGGTTAGGAAACATGGGAGTGTACCTCTCTGCTTTAAAGAGCTTTCCTAGGGGCCCCTGGGTGGCTCAGAGGGTTAAAGCCTCTGCCTTTGGCTCGGGTCGTGATCCCAGGGTCCTGGGATGGAGCCCCACATCGGGGAGCCTGCTTCCTCCTCTCTCTCTGCCTGCCTCTCTGCCTGCTTGTGATCTCTCTGTCAAATAAATAAATAAAATCTTTAAAAAAAAAAAAAAGATATAAGAACAGAGGCTGTAACAGATGCTATGTGTGCAACTAGAAGGGTCTGCCATACCCGTGAACTTTCTACTGACCATGTTTCCCTGACCTAACCACCTCTTCCTCCCAGCACAGGAAGGAGAGGGTGAACCCAGAGCCAGTGGCCTGCTAAGGCCCAGAAGTTAATCACCTTTTCCAAGAGCATACAGCTGCGGATGTCCCTCCTTCCAACAGGAGAGTAGGATGAGGAAGGGAGGAGAGCCCCCTGTGGGGCAGGGCCCAGACCCAGCTTGCTCACCAAGCACCATGCACCTAGGGCAGGTTCCTGCATAGAGGGAGAAAGGCTTGTGGGTTCCAGAAACAAGCTGGACAAGCACCTGGGCCAGGATCTGGCCCATCAGAAGCAGGTTCAGATCCTCCATTTCCTAGCCTTGGCTGGGCTGGGCTGGTGGGCTCTGGATCCAGGCATCTGAGCTTTCCCGTTCCCTCTGCCCTGCAGCTGTGGTGACCCCTGCTGCCGGCCAGGGGCTGGAGAGCCCTGCTAAGGACCATCACCCCACCATCCTCAGTCCACAGAGGAAAAGGGTGGCAGGTAGAGGAGGGGGATGGGGCAGGATGCGCCTGGCCTGGTGCTGGAGTCTCGGGAACAGAAACAATCGCCTTCTTCTAGGGCCAAGACTAAAAGACCCCAGCGCCCTTACCCCGCTCCCCCCGCCTAGTCCTTTACCTACTTCATCCTGCTGCCCCTGAACTTGCCATAAGCAAGACTCACACATGTAGCCTCTGTGCTGAGCACTATGACAGGCGTCATGTTTATTTACCCCAACAGTCACCCTGGAAACCAGAATCCTCCCCTTCGGAGATGAGAAAACACACTGAGTTGCCCACGTTCTCACGGCTTAGAAGGGGTGGGGCTGGGACTCTAAGCCCACGGCAGTCCGATTCCACGGCCCAGCCTCCTCACCATCAAGCAGCACGGCCTCCCTGTGCTAAGCGCAGGCCCAGTGAGGCGGGGCGGGGGGGGGGGCGGGATTCACTTTGGCTTCCCCTCCTGATGAATGGGGCTGGTCGACAGTGCGTCCCCGCGCTTCCAGAGCCTGGCTGAGGGGCCTGGTGAAGAACCCGGCTAGAACCTACAGTCCAGCGTCCCAGTCAGTGTGAGGCCTGGGCTCCGGGGCCAGCCCAGACCCAGAGAGGAGGCCAGGCTATCCTAGCGAGGGAAGTAGAGCAAGCAGGGGGTTGGCTCTGCGCTGGTGGTGGCTCCCTTACTCACCAAATCCTTTCACAGGAAACCCCTCCCGGCTGGCTCTGAGGGCGGGCATAATCCTGGATTTTGGACCCTTCCTGGAGGTCACAAGGCCATTCCACCTCTCCAGCTCTACCTGCCTGTGCACAAAGCAGTGTTATTTGGCAAAAAATAAACACACACTAATGATGCATCGGTAAGAAAAAAAAAAAAAGATGCATCAGTAGGAGCCTGACCGGGGCACACAGGCTATAGAATATGATAGAAGAATTAACAGAGATGAGTCAGAAACTCGATACCAGCAGCACATTCATCTGAAACTTCAGGATCCAGATCAGGAAACACACATGAAACCTGACGGATCTTGTCTGTCCCTCTCAGTTACACATAAAACAATTCGGTTTTATTTTTGTTTTATAAACAAGCCGGTACAGCCCTGAGTGCAACTGAAAAAGTGTAGGATCGACTGTTTTCTAAGTCCCCGCCACCCTTAGGAAAAAATTAGGTTTTTGTTGTTGTTGTTCTAACTTGGTTTAAATCCTTTTAAGTCGTACTGTGTGACTTCCTGCTTCTTTCCAGAGAAAAGCCTGCTTGGATTCAAGGTCACTGTTAAGTGAGTCACCATTTTCCCATGCTGTGGACAAACTAGAAATTTCCTCTGCTCCTTCACGGCAGCTAGGATCACCTAAACAGGGGTTGCCCTGACCAGCGTCGTTCAATGCCAATTATTCCCTCAACATCAAGTTAGAGCGGTGACTTGGGCACATTTTCTCTGATACTTTAAAAAAAAAAAAAAAAAGTCCTGAGCAGAAAGTGGTGTCATCTCCTCACTGAAGGTTTGTCTGCGCCTCCTGCCATTTTCCTTCCGGTTACAGTGATCTGCTCTAATGTTCGTATAATGTTTAAATGTTCATCCATTTAAATCGCCTATGACCCTCTAGGAGTCGGCTGGTTCTCTCCTGACAGGGGTTGCCGTAAGACATGCTGTTGACTGAAACAAAGCAAGTGACAGGGCCCCCCAGGGGCGCTCAGCCAGCTAAGCTTCCCACTCTTGATTTCAGCTCAGTTCATGATCTCAGGATCGTGGGATCGAGCCCTGCATCAGGCTCGGTGCTGGGCGTGGAGCCTGCTTGGGGTTCTCCCTCTCCCTCTCCCTCTGCCTGCCGGGGAACACCTCCCTGCTCACCGGGGGGGTCTGCTTCTCCCCCTGCCTCTGCTCCACCCCACCCCCTCCACCATTCATACGTCTTCCTGCTCTCTCAAATAAATAAAACCTTAAAAAAAAGAGAGAGAGAGAGAAAGAAAGAAAAGCAACTTACAAACGGGCCGCGATGTTGCCTCATTTACATACGTGGCCGTGTGGGCCCGGTGTGGAGCCGCACGTGACAACCTGAGAGCTGCTACCTTTGCTGAGGGACCCTAGCTTTACCTGTAACGCTCCCACTGTGGCCAAAGAGAATGTATTCCTTATGTAATTTGTGTAACTAAATGTTTCTTTGTAGGCACAAATACTACAAGGCCATTATTTATTACTTCAAGCGGATACAAAGCCATCTACCCCAGAAACATCATCATGTTGACCTTCCGTTACTGATGGCCCGCTTTTTTTTTTTCCCCCCACATCACATTTCTGCTCTAAGGTCCATCTGGCAATCCTACTTCTTAGCCTGGCCCCAGCCAAGCTGTGCTCCCGCTTTCCACATCAGCACCGCTGCACGCTGTCCAGGAAGGCCCTTAGCAAGTCCCACTGCCAGGCCTTTCCTTAAGCAGTTCCCGAAGCCCGAATGCTCCCTACCTGCCTCTCTCCTTAACCAAGTCCTACTCATGGTTCAAGGTCCAGTGGCAACCTCTCCAGTCCTGTGGCCACCTCTCCAGTCCTGTGGCCAGAGCCCTATAGCCCCTGGCCCTCATCTGGCCCTTAGCCTCCGAGTTCAGCCCTTTCTCCGAAGATCACAAAGGACACTGATGCCTCCGTTAAACTGTCATCACTGCTGACTGCTATCTCCAGGTTTATATTATGAGATTGTAACAACGGTCCTACGAGTTGATACTATAATCATTATTTATAGAGCCCAAGTTCAAGCTCAGACAGGTTAAAGGCCCAGCCCAAGGGCACACAGCCAGTTAGGGAACACAGCCTGTTCACTTGCCTCTCAGCACAAACCTGAAATGTCATGAGAGCCGAGACCACAACTAACTTGTTCGTGCTGGTGTGCCTGACCTTTACCAGTCGCTAAATAAATACGAAGTAAATGACTAATGGCTGCAGCGTCTGGAAATGTAAGCACCTTCCTTATGGAGTGATAGCGGCAAACATTCCGCTCACCTGCCGGGCCCAGAACTGAACGGTTCCAGATGGTTCCGCTGAGTACCAGCAGACACCCCAGGTGGTGGGTGGTCTGTAGTATTAATGCTAGGAGATTGAAGGAAACTTGTCAGAAGACGTAAGTAACTTGTCCCAGGTCACACAGCAAATCGACTCAGGCCTGCCTGGGGGGCTCACCTTCCCCTATTTTCATCACCCACTGCTTCCTATCCCTCTTCTCCAGGCTGCTCTAGTTTTCAGGGGCGGAAACTATCTGTGGGCAGTGAGATGACTTTCCTCCCACTATTCAGCAAACCAGCCAGTGTAGGTTCTGGGAGCAAACCAGGGACAATGCACCTGTATGTCCCCCTACTTCCACCCCACCCCCCATCACTGTGGACACATCCCTCGGGGCTTGTCTTGCCGCCTTATCCAGCACACTTGTAGACAGTGAGTGGAAGTTACTGGACACCCGCCCCCTCCCACTGGGAGGCTAGTGATGAGAGAGGCGGTCCCTCTTTACATGGGTCCACTCTTCACATGACGGACCGCCTGGCCATCCCTAACAATGGCACTGCCCACCCCTGTCGGGCCTGGGCACTCACCACGCACGAGCCCGGGTGGGTGGGAACTCGGTGAGAAGCTTAGCAGCTCCATCCAGATGCGAATTGTCCCTCCCACACTTCCCGGGCTGCAGGGGCCTCCATTAGAGCCCCCGAGGAGTCAGAATCCACACCTCCGCAAATGGGCCCGCTTTCCCAAGGCCCCCCTGCCCAGGCCTTCCCTGGGCTCTGTGGGTTTTGACACCTCTCTGTAACCTGGCAGGGGGCCACCTCTCACCTTTGGTCCAGATAAAAGCTCAGGCCTGGAGGTGGCCGGCCCAGCCTCCCAGAGCCCACTACAGCCCCGGCCATGGCCCAGTCCCCTCCTCTGCACAGCCTCCTGGGCCACGACCACTGGATCTTGCCCCAGGGCTGGGGCTGGGCCGGCCACCCGGACTCCACGTCCCCTGCCTCCTCCTCAGACTCGTCGGGCTCGTGCCCCTGCGACGGCGCCCGCGGCCCCTCGCAGCCCGCGCTCCCAGCCCGCAGCGCCCGCGCTGCAGAGGCCGCCCCGACCGCACCAGGACGACCCCGCAGCGGGCCGGCGGGCGGGCAGCGGCAGAGCGCCAGCGAGCGCGAGAAGCTGCGCATGCGCACCCTCGCCCGCGCCCTGCACGAGCTGCGCCGCTTCCTGCCGCCGTCCGTGGCGCCCGCCGGCCAGACCCTCACCAAGATCGAGACGCTGCGCCTGGCCATCCGCTACATCGGCCACCTGTCTGCCGTGCTGGGCCTCAGCGAGGAGAGCCTGCAGCAGCGGCGGCGGCGGCGGCGCAGCGACGCGGCGACCCCTCGGGGCTGTCCGCTCTGCCCCGACGGCGGCCCCGCGCAGGCGCAGACGCAGGTGCAGGCGCAGGTGCCGGCGCGCGCCCCGGTCCTGGGCTCCGCCGCGACGTGGGGGTCCCCGCCCTCCTGTCCCGTAGCACTAGCGGCGCCAGAGCTCCTGGGGAGCAGGGTGCCCGACGTGGATCCCTGGGTTACACCCCCTTACTGCCCTGCGACGCAGTCGCCCACGCAACTCTCCCAAGGGCCAGCCCCTGAGACGGCCCTTTGGACAGCGCCCCAGGCCTGGTCCGGAACGCAGACGTCCCCAGAACCTAGGAACCAGGCCGTGCCCTGGACGCCGCCCCGCGCTGTCCCGGAGCTTGCCGTATACCAGGTATGCGTGCAATCCCATGCCGCTCCTCTCGGGGTCGTCCCTGGGTTCATTGGGAGATGGAGGGAGTGGGTAGGCTCCAGTCTGCAGACACTGTCGTGCTCTTTAGATCCTGGTTTATCTAATCCAACCAAGTTAGGGTTAGAGAGAAGGTGAAGGGAGTGTGGAGAGGACCCTAACCTTCTGGGGAATGAGGTGGGGTCCCAGGTCATTAAGGACACCACCACGGAGAAGTCTTCTCAACCACGTTAAAGAGGGGGGATCCTCGGACTTGCTCCGGAGGCAAGATGAAAGGTAGCGAGAGGTCCTAGCAGGGAATTCGCTCCAAGTGCTCCACTAAGGTTTGGGGTGAAGGGAGTCTAGCCAGCATCAGGGGCGGTGACTGCCAGAGTAGATGGGCTTGGAGCTGGTGACCTCCTTGCTTCCTTTAAGCTTCATTTTTTCGTGAGGCCCATGAGTGGATGAATCATGGTCCATAAAAGAGCATATTAAGAACCAAAATTTACTGCTTGATTGCTGTTTGCCCAACACCGTTCTTGGTGCTGTACATGTACTAACTCAGCCAGCCCTCCAGCAACCCTGTGTGGTCGATACTGTTATCATCACCACCATTTTACAGATGAGAAAACTGAATAAAAGAGGTTGAGTTCTTAAAACCAGTTAGCAGCAGAGGTGGGATTTGAACCCCTGGAGCGTATCCCCAGAGCTTCACCATTTTGCTTCACTGCATCCATGGTACCCAGAGCTGTCCAGAAGCTGCCAGCCACGCTCCAGGGAGCATCCAGGTTCAAGGTCTCAGGACATCAGGCGGTGGGGCACTAACCAGCTGCTTCTGTCTCTCCTGCAGAGTATCGCTGTGTCTCCAGAATCCTGTCTGTTGCCAGAAACCCCACCCCTCCTGTCCCGCCCAGCATGCCAGAGACTCCAACCTCAGGCCCCGTGGGGATGCTGGAGTCACAGTGCCGACGTGCTCTCCAGCTCAGAGGACCAGGGAACAGTCCCTGGCTTCCAGCTTGGTGACCAAAGCCCTTCCCAGAGCTCAGGCCTGCAGCTCAGTGGCTGCCCTGAACTTTGGCAAGAAGATTTGGAGGGGGGCCACCTGGGCATCTTCTAATAGCCTTGTCTGTCCCCTTGTCAGCCAGGAATCAGCCCTCTGGTGTGCAGTGGCCCCCTCCTTTGCTACGTGCTGTGGTCTTCAAGCTGTTTTTAAGCCAAAGACCTCTTTTCCAAGTGATGTCTTCCACGGATGTAGTGTTCGAAACAGAGCGTGGGGGGCTGCCCTGGCTAGAGTCGGGGCTGGGGGAGTGACCTCTACTCCCAGGAACCCCCCAAAACGACCAGTGTCTGCAGAGCACGGCTAAGGAGCAGGAAGGTGCTGGCCGTTTGGCCACAGAGTAGGCCAGGCTGGGACTGCCAGGGGCGTGGGTTCTGGGGGTGGGGGAAGGGGGAGAGAAACCTGTACGCTTGGATTTTTGTACTTCTTTTAAAAACAACAAAAATGTGGGCTTGGTCTGTTTTTCTTCCATCAACCTGGATTTTTATTGCCTTTGGAAAAGGAAGAATGTTCCCATCCTGCAGGGAACTGTCCTGAGGCTCTCCACCCCCCCCCACCCCCCACCTACCCTCTCCACCCTCCAGCTCCCCTCCCACTCCACCCCCGCCCCCAGCATCTAGGCCTCCTGAGGTTGCATGTGCCCTCCCACGCCACTATGGCAAGTCTTTATCTCCAGGGGCTGCCCTTGGCCTGCTGTGCGTGGTGGCACAAGTGGGGGTTCACGTTTGAGCCTGTTTGCTTGCCTCCAACCCATCACCACGCCCTTGTCCTTTCCTCTGCACGCATTCCCGCTGACGCAAAGGGCTCTTTCACAATTATGGCGAAGCGTTTTTGAAGGATGCATGGTGGTTCGCCTCCACAAGCGAGGCCTGGCGTATTTGTTCCGAGGGCTGCCATGAGGAAATGGTGCGCATGGGGTGGCTTGGAGAACAGAAACACCATTTTCTCACAGTTCAGGAGGTTAGCGTCCAAGGTCCGTGTCAGAGGGGTTGGCTTTCAGATGGCCGCCTTCTCTGTGTGTCCTCACGTAGTTACACTGGGTCTCTGTGCCTGGCTCAGCCATTCTGGTAAGGCCCCCAGTCATACTGGATTAGGGGCCCCTCCCCGCCATGAGAGCTTCTTACCTCTTTATAAGCGCTCTCTCCAAATACATTCTCGTTCTGAGGTCCTGGGGGCTAGAACTTGCCCGTGGATGTTGGGGGAACACAGTTCAGCCCAGAATACCCAGTGCGAGGTGCCAGGGAGAAAACAGCCCCCAACTAACAGGTGGATTAGAGGAAAGTAAGCCGTTAAAGCCCGGGTTGAGCATGGGAATGTAATAAGTTACTTAGGGACCAGAGAGGATGTGACAGCTGGTGGAAGGTGGGTCTGACCACGCTCTCTTCCTTGAGTTACCCAATCATGTTAATGCTGTGCATTGGTTTAAGCTGCCTTGAGTAAGGATAAGCTGCACCTCCAGAATCTGGAGGAAAAGAATTGCCACCCGCGGTCCGTTGACAATGGCCGCCATGGGCTGGAGCCAACCATGGTAGTGACTTCATTGTGTCTCTACTGGCCAGGGTAGGGGAGAACGGCAGGATGTCGGGGGTGGGTATTGAAGGGTGTTTGCCAAGAGGGGTGAGTGGGGAGTGACCCAGGCAGAAGAAACAGCGCGTCCAGAGTTGACAGAGGTGATGAATAGGGTGGGAAAAGGAGCTCATAGACAAGGTTGTGGGGACCCCGTATGGCCTCTTTCTTGGATGATGAGGAGGCACTGAAGTCAGGGGACTCAGAAGGAGTTGGTCAGAGGCGCAGGTGGTCCCTTTGGCTGCGTGGCCACAAAGGAGCCGGGCAGGGAGGCCATGGTCACGGTGCCAGGCTAGAGGAGGGGCAGGAAAACCACGCACAAGCTGCCTGAGCTCTCAGCTGCACATAGGGCCAGCCATTGGACCCGCTGATGTGCCTGGTGACATCAGGCAAGTCACTCCCTCTCCGTGCCTCAGTTGCCCCATCTCCTAAAAGAGGAACTGGTTTAATTGCCCACTGAAGTGGCTTCTTGCCCTAGCGTTCTAGGATTCAGGTTCTTACCCCAGGGCCTCCGGTCCCTAGGGGTTGCCAGCCGCAGTTGGAAGGATTAGAAAACCTCACACATGATTACATACATCGAGGAGATGGATACAGGGCACGACTAACCTGGGAGCACGTTCCACTCAGCCCTTGCTCACATAGAACTGAGCAAACTGAAACCTCCCTGAGCCTCAGTTTTCTCAGCTGTGAAATGGGGACAGTAAGAGACCCAGTCCCTCAGGATTCTTAGGCAGGGTACGTAGTCATTGCTGAACGGAGCCACACGACCTTACAGTCCGGAGGTTCCCTAACCTGGCTGCCTGCCCAGACACCTGGTTCTCGGGGCCCACCCTGAGAGCATGAGTCAGAGCAGTGAGCGGGAACTTAGAAACTTGGGGATTTAAAAAATCTTTAGCAGGTTTGGGTTCAGTGGATATTCCCCACCCCTTCATTTCATAGCTGAGAAAACAAGCCCAGGCAGAGAAGCCACTTTCCCTAGCCCCCGAGCTAGGCAGGGATGCCTGGCCCCTGACTCCCTATCCAGTGCTCTCTCCTTCCCTAGAAGACCCAAGGTCTTGGCTCCGTAGTCTCACAGCATCTGCACCAAAGGCTAAATTAAACAACTGCCCATCTCCTTTCCTTGGCTCCCAGGGGGTTGGTCGCTGTCGGGACAGGGAGAGGTGCTCGCTGGTCTTGTCACAGAGGGCCATGCCCTTCCAGCTCCAAGGTCAGCTCCCCCATTCTGCAAGGGCTGGAGTGGAGCCCAAGAGGGGTGCAAAGGCAGGAGAGGCGGCCAGCCAGCGTTGCCTGGGAGACATCTGGGTACAACTGGAGTGAGGGGTCCAGGAGCGGCGGTGCTTGGGCTGATCTCCCACCCCTGCCCTCAGCCTCTACACGGGAAGGTTCAATCCTGCCTCTCAGGAGCAGGAGCCCGTCACCTCCTTCCGTGGCTTCACCCTGGGCGTGCCACTCTTGACTGCCTGTCTACTAAGGGCCCGGCAGGGGAGGGAGAGGGCGCTGCTGCCTGGGGCCTGCCCAGAACGGCTGGTCTTCCCGCACCTTCCTGGGGAGCCCCCTCCATCACCAGCAATAGGAGAATGGACATTCTCTCATGATCCTTCCCTGTAAAGGACATGCCTCCCGAGAAGCCTCCTGGGTAAGGGGAGGTGGGAGACCTCTCCCACCATCCCCAACACTGCCCAGGGCCTGCCTCCCCACTGGCCCTGAGCGGTCAGCCCACCGCAGAGTGCTGGGCACAGACGAGCAGCCTGAGTTCCACTCTGGCCCCTGCTCTGTGTGTGACTTGGGGGAGGTTCTGCAGGCGGACATCGGGCTCTGGGTGCCCTCGCTGGATTCCTGGGGACCTGATTTCCTCCAGACACCCAGGGTGTTGGGTCCCCCCAGAATTGGGTACCCCAATAATGGGTCCGTGATTAAAGAAGCGAGACTGATACAAAGCGAAGGTCAAGCAAAGCTTAATTTCGCGCCAAGTATCAGGAATCACACCGACCCTCAAGCCGACTGGTCGGGTCCGCCCCTACAGAGAGGACGACCTCTCCCTGCTTTCCAGACTAACTTTTATAGAGCAAAGGCCATGTAGTTGGGCCTGGCCACACACAGGTGGCCAATGAGATTATAACACACACAGGAAACTCCACAGTGATGCTAGGTGACCAAATGAATTACAATTTACCCTAGTAGACATTTGATTTAGCCTATCACACCTTGGTTAGGATTGGCGCCAAAAGGCTCCCAAAGGGCGGGGGCCCATACTCCTTGGTAGCTAGGGGACAGTATGCGCCCCCACTGATTGAATACCTCCACCTGGTCTGACCACCCTTGTACTTGGACTTTGTTACCTGGGACTGGTTTCCTGGACTTGCTTTTATTTTATTTTAAAGATTTTATTTATTTATTTGACAGAGAGAGATCACAAGTCGGCAGAGAGGCAGGCAGAGAGAGAGGGAAGCAGGCTCCCCGCTGAGCAGAAAGCCCGATGTGGGGCTCGACCCCAGGACCCCGGGACCATGACCCAAGCCGAAGGCAGAAGCTTTAACCCACTGAGCCACCCAGGCGCCCCCCCTCCCCCCCGACTTGCTTTTAAATAAGTTCCCCTGGGGGGAGGGGTGGGCAAGGTCAATTTCAGTTTTACAGCAAAATGGCAGTTCACGGGCGTGGGGCCGCTCTGGCTGAATGGGCCCTTACAAGGGCATCTGAAGGCCAGCCTGGGGAGCCGTGCGGTGGTGGGAGCTCCCAACAGGTGGGTGCCACAGACCTCGCCCCAGCTCTAGAGGGGGGGAGGCCTTCTGTTCCGCCCGGCTTCGGAGCCGGCATCCCGCTCTAGCCTCACTGACTTACCCTTTCTGCGCCTCAGTTTCCTTATCTGCAAACCTGAGATAAGAAAACCAATCCTTATCTCCTGGGACTGTTGAGACCCAAATGAGATAATGCGCATAAACACTCGGCCCGGTGCCAGGCACAGAGCCGAGGCCCCCTGCAGACTCCTCTCCCTGGAGGCCAGGTCTCTCCCAGGGACCCTGGTGGGGCTGGTCCCTCCCCCAGCGGGACCTCCGGAGGGAGCCTGCCCTCTGATCCCCAGAAGGTTAAGTGCCAGCCACAGCTGCTGGGCACTGGCGACAGGAAGGCCTGGCCTTGAGGGGCTGGGCTGAGGGAAGCCTCCTGATTGGTGGAGAGACTCCACCCCATCCCCCGGGGCTGCTCTTACCCCTTGGCCCGCCCCACCTTTGATGAGGGATCGCCTTCCGGGCCCAGCCCCACCCCCACTTCTCCCAAGGCCGAGCAGATGCTGTATGGGGAGCCCGCAGGCCAGGAGACCAGGCTAAGGGTAACAACACCCATATCTCCTGTGGGGGGAGGGGGGCAATGCCCCTGATACCCTGATACGTGACTCTCCTTAGATCCACACCCCAGCTCCGTGATCTGTCACCTTTATCGTGCAGATGTGGAAGCCAAAACCCAGGGCTTTGGGTAAATTGCCCAAGAAACTGGCCAAGCTGTGCTCTGACACCAGGTCCCCTGGTCTCCGGGCCTCCAGCCCCAGCGACTCACTTGGAGGAGACCCCCAAGGAGCCCTGTGGTGTGTCACCTCCCATGTGCCCTCCAGCAGCTGGGGGTGCTCACCTGCACCCCGAGGGTGGGGGTGGGGGGCTGAG